TTCCATTAGGTGTGATCCAAGTCTCAGCCTGTCTCCACCCTCGCAACTGAGGCTCCTCATGCATGTCAATCCTGACTTTGATGTGGGTGCTGTGGGTCTGATCTCAGATGGCCAGCAAGCACATTAGAGACGGAGCCATCTCTCCAACTCTTGCTGCTCAGCATTTGATGACATCATTCAGCCTCTATCACAGAACAGCCTCTAGAATGGCGTTTTAGTCAGGCTCTATCACAGAACAGCCTCTAGAATGGTGTTCAAGTTCTAAGAAATTTCTTTGGATTAATAGAAATACAGAATTTATGAAGTTACAAAATTCTTTACAAGGCCATCAGCATCTAACACCATAGGGTACAGACAGGGTGTCGTCTGTATCAGATTATTTTTTACCCTCTGCTGTAGATTTTCTCAAACATGTCTGGACATAGGAATTGCTTGTTTTAAACACACTTGCACACACACACACACACACACACACAACACTCCATGTCACTTTTACTAACAAGATAAGTATTTCTGAGAGTAAGATTCTAAAGATTTTTTTTAATCTCCCTTATTCTGAAAGAGTATTTGGACCAGCAGATACTATCTTTGGGACCTCTGGCCAGAAAGTATATAATGTGCACAGTAACAACAACAACAACAACAACAAAATGTTTGTTGGTCTGGGGATATAGTTCAGTGGTAGAGTACTTGTCTAATAGGTACAAGTCCCTATATTCATGCATGCATATACACATATATTTATTGTTGGCCAAGCCAGTAGTTCTAGAAAGCACAAACTATATGCTCTGCTTATAAAGAATGTATATTATTCTTGCTGCTTTTGGACCTATTTGCCCAACAACATTTGATTCATGTTTGCAATATAGAAAAGGCAATTAAAGAAAGAGATACAGCATAGAGGTCTTACAACAGTAAGACCCCTTCTGCACACTCATTGGGGCTGGATATGTCTGCCGGCTGTAGAGTGCCTCCTGAGTAAGAGCAAAGCCATGCCCATACCCAGCACTCCTTGAAGACCAGTGAGGTTGCTGGAGTCATACTTGTGACCCTGTTACTTTGGAGGAACAGCTACAGTTTTAACTTCCATTAGTGAGAGCCTACTGTGGAGAAAAATAGACTTCTCCTTAGAAGTTCAGTGTGAGACCACAGCACACATTTCCCAGTTGGTATGCTATTAGGATATGTGGTTCCATGATATCCCATGCTTGAGAATTCCAATCCTTCCTCCTTTGCATTCTCCTCTATTTCTCACCTACTATAATCCCGGGCTTTAATTCGAACTGTTTTAAGCCATAACACGGTACCTAACACTTCCCTGTACCTCAACGCTAGCCAATGAAGAGTGACAGCAGACACACAGTGCAATGAAAGCATTGTCCTCAGGATCTCTGCAGCTGTGGTTTAATGTGACTACCTCTGTAAATGCAGGTGGAAACTGCAGGTCTACGCTTGGGGGCTGTGTTTATATGCCCCATGCATCCACGAGAGGGATGCATGACAATGTTCATTAACCCTTGCTGTGTTGAACTGCACTTTGTATCTTCCCATCCTGTGCATGGCCAGCTCTCTTGCCATAGCCCTCAGCCCATGATTCTGTGCATTAACCCATTGCAGAAGTTTTACTGTACACATGCTGTGTTTTCTAACTAACAGCTTGTTACTGAATATACACAGATATCAGTACTCACCCTCGTCACACCATAGGCGGAAATCAGTAGTGTCTTTCTTTACTTCTGCTTTTGTGTACAAAGGCTAAATCTTGACTATTTCTGTAGCTACTGGATATTTTTCCCTCATCGTGCAAGACTTTGTATCCCAGCAGCCTTAATATAGTGTGGACACTCACAGAGGTGAGAACCTTTCCACCATTCCAGCCATACTTTACTTCCCAGAGAACCGCCATATTTGTCACCATGGCTTAAAGCATGAATATGTGGATGTGAGCTTCTGAGAATGTCAGTCAGTAAGGGACATGAATACATCAACATTCTACTCTGTCCTTTGATATGCAAAAATCATCTGGATCCAAGCGTAATGAAATGCACAACCTTGTTGTTAAAGGTCAGAAAGGTCTGTCATTCATTTCCTGCTACCCATCGATTGGAAGAGAAATTAAAAATACTGTTAGAAGAGAACAAGGGCAAGAAAATTGAATATGTGAATGTCACTTATAAAAGTTAAAGGTATGTGTCTATGTGTGCGCCTGTGTGTGGGCATAAGCATGTGAATGCAGGTGCTTATGGGATTTAGAATAAGGCATTGGGTCCCTTTGTGAGCTCCTGACATAGGGGTTGGGGACAGAACTTGAGTCCTCTGTGAGAGCAATGCACAAAAATGTTGAGCCATCCCTGCAGGCCCTGAGTAGTCTCTTTATGTTGAAAATGCATGCTTTCCTATGGTCCAGTTTTCATACTGTCTCACGCTGTTTTCAGTATTTGCTACTTCCTCCTGCTGACACAATTATTCTCCTTCTGTTTCTCCAGCAGTCAGTTTATGGGGAAGACACATTGTTCATTTCTTTTCTTTGATTAAAATAGATACATTGCAAATGTGATCTACAGAACCAGAGGGGTCTTTCTGGAAGCCATGCAGCCATGACTTAATTAATACTCATCCGTGCTGTCCATGGCTTGCGGTGCCTCTGACTTGACACTAGACAGCCAATGGAGCCAGTCTCTCATTTGGCATCTGGGAGAGTCCCACAGCCATCTTGTACTAAAGGTGGAGATCTCTATCATGAGGCTCATTTTGCATCACACACTAGAATGAGAGGAAATTATTCACACAGAGCCTCATGTTGCCCCGGAAAAGCTCAAACCAGCTATTTATCTGGTAATTATCTTAATCTTAGGATTCTCCTGTCTTTACCTCCTGAGTGCTGGTATTATAGGCATGCACCACATATGTGGCTTATGTGATGCTGGGAATTGAACCCAGGGCTTTCTGTATGCTAGCCATGCACTCTACCAACTCAACTGCATCCCTGGCCCCAGAGGACTATTAATTTTATAATATCTGTTTTCATAGAACTTCTAAAGTTTTCTAAACATTTTTTTCTGCAAGTTTAAAATGTCATCCATTATGCAGATGGAAGTTTGCATATAAAATGTATATAAACAAATTAACTATTTTGGAAGCATAAGTTGACTAGGAGACAACTTGTCAATAACTAAGAAAAGGAGTCTAAAGATCACTGACAAACATTCTCAGATGTAATCTGTCAATCCCTTAGGTTTTGAAGGACAACAGTCAGCCCATAGGCCACTATATGATGATTGTATTGCCATTCATTTATTCATTTAAAATATTTAGCAAACATTGATGAGTTACAAGTTATCTAGAAGTGAGGTAACCCTGAAGAGGATATACCCATTAGTCCTTACATTTTCTAATAGGAAAAAAGAACATGACTACCAAGCTTGCTTCTTGGCATTTTCTTTGTCTGGAGTGACATTTCGTGATCTCTCTCTATTTATTAACTACCTCCTGACCTTCACCCTCTAATGCCACACCCTCCTAATTCCCTTGGACTTAAGTTTAACTCTTTAATGTCCAGGCACTTATCTTTTGATACAGAACATGGTCTACCAACTTTAAGGTAACACAATAACCTAACCCCATCTGAGAATCAGTCAAAACCTGAGGCCATATGACTGGTAATGTCGTATGAGAAAGACAGGGGGGAGGCTACTGTCTGTGACAATGGCTGGGGATAGGGAGGAGGGAAGGGTGTTCTCTCTCCGTCTTCTAATCAGTAGGCCTGTGCTTGCTTCTGTTATTTATTCACAGATTCATCAGTAAAGGCTACCCTCATTCATTAGACTATTGAATGTCAGAGGTGAAGTTTTTCTCCTAGAAAGTGGTGCCTTGTTAGGCAATCATGGTGGCCCATGCCACGGCCCTAAACGCTTAGAGAGGCAGAGGCAGAGGCAGGAGGACTGAGATTTAAAGCCAGCTACATAGTGAGATTCTATCTTGATAAAAAGGCTTGTGACTACAGATTAGTCTAATTATTATTTCAGATGAGCTCACACTTGTGACATTCAAGTTCTTCTAGGTATGTAATTTAACTGAAAATATTCTATAAATGTTCTCTATCCATGGCTCAAAGGGCAAAGTACTCAAGAAAACTTGTTTTCTTTACCCTAAGAATGTTGTCTTAGAAAAACCACAACATGATTATGTACAAGAATTGAAGAGTTCTGTATGGCTGCCGCCTGCTGCCTGCTGCCTTCTGCCTGCTTAGGAAAGCAGCAACTGTCTCACAAGGATGGTTAATGTCAGATGGAAAACTCACCCAACATCAGCATCAGGAAACATTTGAGCTTCACACATGTGCAGTGTACTAATGTATAAGTATGTGGTTTGTATGATTGCATGTATGCCTGTGTGTGTTTATGTATGTGTAGGTGTGTGTGTGTATTTTTGAACATTTAGATGGTATCATGGCCAACAGTTTGAGAGCCTCTGTTCTAGAACATGGACTATTTTGGAAGAAGCAGGTCTGCCAATACATTGACTTCAGTCCCTAAAGTCCATATTCAGATTTCAGAGTTCAAGAACTCAAGCTGTTGTACTTGGTCATAGACTCAATGGAACCTAGTAAGTAGATTAACATGGGTTTTCTTACCCATGATCCTCTGCTGCGTGTTCCTCCTCTATGTACCCTAGAACAACTGTTAGATTTCACCCCAAGTTCAATGACTGAAAGATAGTCTGTCTCCTAATTTGTACTTTTTATAACAAATCTGGAAGGAATCGTGCCTATGAGATTCCAGAGCATCCCAGAATTTTGTGGTTCATTTAGCTTACATTGCACCATCTAGGCAAGGCAAAGCTGGAGGTTAGGACTCCACTTCATGGACTTCAGACATGCTAGACATACATGTTTACTGAGTGAAGAAACTAAAGAATGCCGATACACTTAAAACCATCTCTTTGTAATGATAAACCAATCCTCGACATTTGCATAAAAGTGGAAAGAAGCTGTCACATACATTTGCGACTTCATAAGACCCGCTCAGCATCTGTTCCATGTAACGACTTAGATCTGTGATTCTCTTGTGATCCGAATCTGTAAACGGTAAGTGCCACCAGTGAGGAAACCTGTTTTAAAAGAAAGCAGTGATACTTCAGTCAGTAGGGAAAGTAGCTTCTTTTGGGTGGTCACACAGTTAACAGCTGCACTAGTGGAGGGCCAATAAAAACATTAGAAATCCTGGCCATTTCATAGACACCATTATAGTCATTTGTGCTACTGTAATCATCACTGATATCAACACTAATTTAATTTAATGTTAATTTAATATAATCTTTATTACTGTATTTATGGCAGATCACAAATGTTTCCTCCCTGTACATGTAGCAGCTAATACATAGTTTCTAAGATTAATGACCTACGGTTTTCCAAAGAGTTCTGATTGTATTGTTTCTTACGGGCTCACGACAGACATTATTGCATGATATAAATTAGATGTTTCATCCAGTAGCATCTGCTTCCATCTGGCCTTAGTCTTGTGAGTTAGAGCCATCCTGTCCCCAAGAGTCTGACCAGACAGCTTCTCTGTCATCTACCTGAAGACGGTCTTGGTGAGTTGGGCTTAGTATCAGTTGTTTGGTGGGATGACCTGTTAGTGGTCTCATCTGGTAAAGTAATTTCATGCTTGACTGCATCTTTTCAGAAACTTACTGTTGCCTTCTGTAATACTTTCGCCTTTTGGTTCAGATGAAGGCCTGCCTACAGAGCTCACTGGAAAGAGGCATGAGAGGGGTTGTGAAGCTTTGTCCTCAAGCACACAGAAGCAGGTGGTGACCTCCCTGTTAGTTCTTTTTCATTTGTTTCTTTTGTTTTTGTTTTTGAGACCAGGTTTCTCTGTGTAGTCCTTTCTTTCCCGGAACTCACTCTGTAGACCAGGCTAACCTCGAACTCAGAGATCCACCTGCTTCTGCCTCCTGAGTGCTAAGATTAAAGGTGTATGCCATCACCACCTGGAATCCCTGCTACTTGTTAAGGAAGCCGTGTCAAGTACAGAATGGATAAATCTATATATTAAATTATTACCTAGTAACTAACATTTAATATTTTAAAATAGTCTATCAATCTAAGGATTTAAGTATTAAGATTGTTTTTGTCTGTAACTAGTTATGAAAATTAGTACCAATATATAATTAGTCTATAATATAAAAATAATTACACACACATGTGGTAGCAGTTTTGGAAATGATCTTGGCAATAAGGATGCTTCAGTTAGTTTTAAACATAACTCACATATCTATATGCAAAACTTCCATATTGGTATAATGAAGCAATTCGATCTTTTCTGATGTTTTACAGATACTGGAAATTCTAAGTATATTTATGTGCACAGAATTGAGGAATTGGGCCATACGCGTGCCATCCAACCCATCTGAAGCCGGCCTACCACATGCCACATTGACATCCGTTGTGGAAAAGTATATTTATACGGTTTTAACTGACACCGTTGTCACATTCCCTCTTGGCTTTGTTAAGGCAAAAGAGCAGGCAAAGAAAATAACAGCAATATATGTTTGTTTGCTTGCTTCTTGTGTTTTTAAGTCCTGATTTGAAAATGGAACTATTCTCATAATTAGGGTAATTTGTATTCTCCATGCTAACACCAGGGTTTTCTTTTCCTTTTGGTCTGGTCCTGCATGTTTTTTCCCATCTTGGGAGGATAGAGAATGAAGTTCTGAGGCATGAAGAAATGTAGGAAGAGGGAAAGAGGCTTGCCTTCTCCAGCAAGTGAGTTCAATGAAAACCATTCATTCTAAGAAAATCTCCATGCCTGTGTACTCTTGGAAGGTATGGGGGGGTACATATGGCTCGTTTGGAAGACCTCTGTGGCAGGCTATGACTAATTAGAATTCCATCCTTCCTCACTGTGGCTTTCTTATTTTATTTTATTTTTTCCTCAGATGGGATTTACAGAAGTCTCTTAGGGCTTCCCTCAGTAAATGTAGGAGTCAGAGAAAATCTTGCCCTTGTCATCATCCATATGTATGATCTCCAGTCTTGGCCCCTAAGGGAGAGTGAGCCCACAGGAGCTGCTCAGGGCACACAAGGCTAAACGTCCCTCCCACAGTGGGTTCCTTAGATGGTTTGAATATCAATTTAACTTCGTCACCAGGCAGCAGCCGTGTGCAGAGCAGAATCCTAACTAAGGCTGGAAACTGAGAAGGGGGAATGTGGAAAGAGATGCTCACACTTGTGATGTTCCCCCCAGCACACAAGAGGCCTGGGAGGGCAGCCTTTAACAGAGGTAATTCATACTCTCAAGTGACTGCTAGTAGGTATGATGACCACCCCGATGCTGAACTTTGCCGCTATTTGAAGATTTTTGTTCGTGTTTCTTTCTTTTTTGCTTTCTTTTTCTGAGCCTCCACAAAACAATCCTAAACCTGTGCATAGAAGTTTCCAGAATGAATGCACTTTCCTCTCATTCCCTAACTGTTGTCTTATGTCTTATCTTCCAGAAAATGTTCATGTTTCAAACTGTCTATGTAGGGAATAGGGTTTTTCTGCCCGCCGCCAAGTCTTGTCCCGCCCCCGCGCCAGCCCCAAATAACACACAGAGACTCTGTATATGATATAATTTTGTTGGCCAGCTACTAGTTTCTTATTGGCTAGCTCTGTGTTAATTATTAACCCATTTTTATGTATTTCCACGTGGTCTTACCAGCGAGAGGCGGCTGGCGGTTCTAGTCTCTCCAGACTCTCCATCTTGACCCTCCTTCCTACTTCCTTTTTTCCTCCTTGTCTCCTAGTCCCTCCTATCTTCCTTTCCTATTGGCGAACAGTGCTTTATTCATTAACCAGTATGAGAAACATATATACATAATGGCATCTCCCATCATGTCTATGAGAAGAACAAGCATACATTTTCAATATTCTAAAATACGTCTTTACCTATTGGCGACTTGTATTTATGTTTTAGAAGGTGACTAAACTAGTCCCCATGTGCAAAGCAGGTCATATCATAAGTGGCCACTAAAACATTAAAGTTTGGTTCATTTAACAAAAACCCCAATGCAGATGAAAGAAAAATCAAAATTAGATTTATCTGACTGCTAATATCACAATTTCTGGGGGAATTCATTATTTTAAAGTTAAAATACAACTTTTCTATACATCAAAATCAATGACCTAAATTTGCCTCATTTTAATTAGCAAATATTCCAAGCTAGATGAATAGTAGTTGTTCTCTTTATATCTATAGTTAGCTTACTTTAATCTTTTCTGTAGCAACAGAGAGATTTCTGTAATTCCTTCAGAAAGTATGGGAAATAAATAACATTTAGGTCATGCAATTTTAGTTAAGTATTGATTGGTTAAGGAAATGCTAGCTTGAGAATAGTAAAGGAGAATTATGAATAAACCCATTGATGTTACTATATTTCTGTCCCCCAGGACAGAAATCACTCATCCTTCTTTATGTGCTTATATGTGTGATTATATATGCATTTTCAAATTTCACTTATCGTCAAAAGAGTAGGCATGTTGATTTAGCTCTGACTTTCAATTTCAATTCCATTTTTATAGAAAACAACTGAGAAGATTAAATTTTAAAACAGGGAAATGAAACAATTTTTCCCAATAAGTGATGAAAAATGAAAGGGGTTCTGATTTTTTTCCCCCATCTACAGAAATCAATAGCTGGAAGCAAAAGGAGAAAATTGCAAACTTTGTTCTGCTTTCTGCTGCAAAGGGATCTTTGCTAGGGCTTTGCTGGGACAGCGGCCCTGTATCAGACTCCCAAATGGGAAATCCCTGAGCCATCATTTTCCCCTTTGCTCAAGGGTAAGTTCTGATGGCCAAATATGGAGAAGGGACTGATCCTTACTCTGGGAGGGTCAGCGATGAGAATTGCTTCTGAATTTGGCTGTGAAGTCTGGAAAAGTGTTCGAATGACTTTCTGGTCAGGCTTTTCCTGTTGTCACTGAGCGTCACCTCGATCAGGTACAGCTGCAGATAAATAGGCAACAAAACAATCAAAAGATGGAGATATAACTTGCCATACGTCCTAAAAGTGGCTTTTAGTAAATTAAACAAAGAATGAAACTTTCTGTTAAAAAAAATTATCGTCAGAGCTGAAGGATGCAATTTGTGGCGCCATGATGACCTATAAATAAAACGTATGAGGGTCCCAAAATTTTATGTTCTGGCAACATTGCCCAATTTCTGCTGTCCTTTCTTGCAGACACTTTAATTAGCTCTTGATTTGTAGTCTAACACAGGGTAGGAACTGTTCCCTCTGATGGGTCTCCACTGATAGCTCCAGTTGTTATGAATTTTCTTAAGACATCTCCTTAATGGCAGTCCTTCACTCGAAACCGATTTTCAATTTGCACAGTAAAACGCACTATGCTTTAACAGCTACGTAGAGGCAGACCCCGTGGCACAGATTTAGACTTACGTTGCCGTGCGTCTTGCTGAGCCCTAATATTGTGGCTCTCTGAATTGTCCTGGTTTTGTGCAGGGTGCAGGATTCCCAGGGAAGAGTCTGAGGGGCAGGTTTGGCAAGGCTTATGGCTGGCATCTGTGCCAGTGTGTGGATCAGGTTATTCAACTTAACTGGGAAGCACTCCAGACTTTCCTTTATTTTCCTAGAGAAGCAGAAAAGAAGACAGTAAGGAACACTCCCTCTATCGGCTGGCTGTGTCTGTGACTGAGCCCTGTGTTTGTCAGATGCAGATGTGTTTGGAAGGGTGAGATGGAAATTCATATATACAAACCCCATGTATTAAATATTGTGTTCCTAAGCATTAAGTTCACACCTGGAAGTTATTAGGAAGTAAAGAAGACACTCTTTTGTTTTGGGCCAGTGAGATGGCTCAGCAGGTAGTGGTGCTTGCTGTTGAACCCGAGTACCTGAGTTCCATTCTACGGGGTGTCCTCTGACTTCTGCATGAGTTTTGTGAGCACAGAAGTGAACACACACACATACACACACACACACACACACACACACACAGAGAGAGAGAGAGAGAGAGAGAGAGAGAGAGAGAGAGAGAGAACAGATTGGCATAGGGCATAGCATCACATCTGTAATCCTAGTATTGAGGGAAAGAAGACAGAGAAGAGGGAGGGAAACAGATACACACACACACACACACACAAAGATACACATACAAACACACACACAGATACACCTACACACACACACACACAGAGACTCATGCAGAGAGAGATATGCAGACACATGCAAAATAAATAAATAATAAGTTAAAATTAACAAGTTATTTTGTTTCATTTTTTAGAGATTCTGATATTAAAACAAATTAACTGTCGCTTATACTCATGTACTTATATACATTCATAAATTAAACCTAGAAATCGAGATAGGGCAAAAGCTACCTAACACCAGGTGTGTGCAACCTATAGCTCATGTGCAATCCAAAACAAAGTCACAAGCGTACAACATTAGGAGACTGCTTCTGGTAATGCCTGTGTTTGGCTCTGCAGCATGAACTCTGTAAAGGACATCATGTTGCTGTGTCCAAAGGTTGAACGTGTTACGCCCACTCCCGCCCTTCCCTGTAAAGGACTTTCAAAACCATGTCTCCATGCTCACTGTTTAGGTTTATCTTATCCCTGTGTACTTTTATTCCTCTATAAGGTGACTTAGAAAAATCTAGCACACTCTCACAATGTACCTAATGTTTAAGTATTTTATATGAACTGTATTTTACTCTATAGTCCTGTTTTTGACTGCTTTGATTTTTGTGTTTGATCTTGAAACCATATTTTTTTGTGTTCCAGTGATACAATGATCTCTTAATATAAAGTTCTCATTCTTTCTTTTATGATATTTTCTATTTATTCCCTTCTAAGAAGAATACTGAAAATTTCTTTTAGCTCTCTCTTATCCAGAACGACTGGGTATGATAATAAACTCATCATTACTAGAAAGTAAATAGCATTTTCCTTCTCTCTGTTACATTTCCCAGTTTCCATTGGCATCGTTTTTAAAGATTTATTAGTGTGTGTGTGTGTGTGTGTGTGTGTGTGTGTGTGTGTGTGTACGTGTGTGTGCCCTGTAGGATTTTACACTGGATATGAACAATATCACTTTTTATCCCATAAAAATGTCTAAATGCTTCTGGATTTTAATAAATTTCTTCTTTCCATTGAGGTAACAGATAAGGCTTTCAGTTTAATTGCTTAGTGGCTGTTTGAATATTTATCTTGTAATCATTTATCCAAATTCTTTATCTGAATTCTGTTCTTGTTAATCCCTTGGGATTGTTTTAGTTGTTCCTCTATTCAACACTATCACATATTTTCACTCTCAGCGAGGGGACTTCCTGTTTCCCTTGGCAACGGAATGCTTATAACTTTTCACTTTCAGAAGTATGATATTTATCTACATTTCCTTTCATTGTGAGCTTGCTAATGTTTTCTGACATGAATAGATATAATCAAGCGTGAAATTTCTGGGCTGGCATGCATCAACATTATCATACAATAGCCCCTTTAGAACCAATCCACCAGGCCCTCCATGGTAACGATGTACTTCAGTCATGTTTAATAATTTCCCCTAACTTTAGCAATATTCAGACTCATCTATCTTTTCTAGTCTCGAGCTCCTTTTGGGTAAGTTTCAAATTTTCTCATTATTATACCTACATCGATGCTAAAATTTGCTAAAGTCGTTGAAATACAGCTCTGGTCCCGTTATTCATTTCCACACTAGTCATTATTTTTGATGATATTCTTGGAACTTATAAATTCATGAGTCTATGCTGTGCTAGAGAGCGTTCACTTTAAAGACAGGAAAATAATGGTAATAGTACGAGCACATTACCAGTCGTTGTTTATGAGTATTTGTCCATACCTTCATCGGTCCATCCACCCAGCCAGTGCTCACGGGACACTTTTATTATTAGTGTGGCAGGCTCCACACTCAGTCCTCACGAACTGTCCATCTTAAGTTCTGATGCTCACACTTCGTACTTTCCACCTGTGTGGGTGTAGCGCTCTGTTCTCACATCGTCTAGGGCTTAGTAATCTTAGGAAACCTTGGGGCCCTCTGAGTGGTTTTTGCTTTCTTTAGTGTGTGTGTGTGCGCGCGCGCACACGTGCATGTCATGTATGTAGGTGCTCTTGGAGGCCACAAGAGGGCGTCTGATCACATGGAGCAGGACTTACAGGATTTATAGGATTTACAGGGTCCTGGAGACTGAAATGTGTTCTTGGGAAGAGCAGCAAGTGTTCTTAACTACAGAGCCATCCATTTAGCTCCTTGCCCTGTGGTTTTGAAGCAAAATTTCATTCATATCTACCTCTTCTTACAGGCACCATATCACCCCTAGCTGTTAAATATTACCCATCCAGGAGTTGGCCTTGACAGCAGTAGGATTCTAGCGTCTTAGGTCTGATATATCCAGAAGATAACATTCACACACACACACACACACACACACACACATGCACGCACGCATGTATACACACATGCACACACACACAGCGGCCAGCTCTAGGACTCACTCTGTTTAATGGCACTATTAGCAGGAGTATATGCAGAACAACTTTTTGGTTTGGGTAATAGCGTATGTGTGAGTGTGTGTGTGTGGGGGGGGGCTCATGCATGTGAGGCAAGCATTCTATTACTGGACTATGTCTCTAACCTTTATTCAGAGTTTTTCTTATACTAAAGATCCAAAGCTACAGCCATAAGAATCTCAGCTCTGAGGAAAACCCTGGTACTCTTGAGAAAGAATGTCTAACTCCCCTGATAGGCACAGCTCTGTGCAATGGGGCACACGGTGATGGAGCCCTCAGGAAGTCTATGTCCTTTGGCAAGTACCTCACTAAATGCTTTGTGAAAGGCAGTACAATTCTTTTCTCTGTGGATAAAACCAAGATCTATGAAAGATTCAATGCCACCAATATATATATATATATATATATATATATATATATATATATATATATATATATATATATATATTCTAGGAAGTTGTAATCAACGAGTCCCATTCATATTTCTCTGATTCCCAAATCTTAATTCTGTTTATGAGTTTTTGATAAGGAAAAAAAACTTTCAATTTTGTTTTACCGAGGAAAATAATCCAGTAGTTTTAGTGGATTTCCCCTGGTGTGGTAAATGCTTATAAAATGTTTAGGCTTTGATTTTTACTCAGGAATAGCCTGTAGTCATAAGAATAAAAAGCCTAACAAATATTTCCAGAAAACTGAAGAGATCAATAATCACTACATTTCTTAAATATTAGACCATGTTTTTTCTTTTTTGTTTGTTTGATGTAAATTGTCCTCAAACTTAAGCTCCTTCTGCTTCAGCCACCACAGCTCTGGGATTGCAAGGCAAGTGCCACTACGCCCAATTCGTTCTATCTTAAAATGTATATAATCTGTATTTTACTTCACAGTAAATGTGTAGTTTCACATAATGTTTTATATTAATAGTTTAATCTTCTTCTCCTCAGAAACAACTGCCTCCAAGAACTGCCTTAGGAATGTATGCATGAGAAGATACTGAATCTGTAACTCTGATGTTTATAGCAACTTCTGGAACATTGCAAATCACTTTTTAAAATTAAATATTATATTATTGCATGTGTATGGTGTAAGAATATATGTGTATGTGCTATCCATACATATGTGCATTATACATATCTGTGATATGCTTGTGGCCTACATGCGTGTGTGTGTTTGTGTGTGTGTGTGTGTGTGTGTGTGTGTGTGTGTGTGTGTGAAGGTCAGAGACCAGCACTAGATGTCTTCTTCAATTGTTTCAACCTTTTGTGACCAAGTCTCACTGAACATGGGGCATACCAATGTGATCAGCTTGCCATCAGACCCAAAAGGTATCTTCCTGTCTCTGCCTCCCTGGTGCTTGGATATAATTGCATACTATTCAAGTCACCTCCAGTACAAATGACATAATTTTGCAATCACATTTACATGTATGAAGAAAACCTTTCCAGATAAGCCATAGTAGCTACTAGGGAATGTTAATTTTAGGGTGTGGACCAGAGTGATGTTCCAGGGTATGGGCCAGAGTGATGTGTGAGACCCTGGGGAATTTCTATGTGAGCATGTTTCTTTTCACAGTTTAAATTATTTATATGCTTCAGTGGCTTGACAGAATATGTGTTTTTCTGACCAATTCTTTTATTTCTCCAAAAATTGATTGTGAAGACTTTGTAAGAGTTACCCTCTGTGTTTCTACTTACATTGTAACTTTATTATTTATAAACAGAAATGACTCAAACTCACCAAGAACAAATTTTTCTTTCATTTAAATTGTATGCTTCATTTCATTGCGGGGATTCTGGTATGTGTAATAAATAGATTATTGTACTATTGCTTTTACATTGGGATATTGATTGTCCAGCTTTCTGCTTTGCTCAGCAGTTTGGGGGGAATGACAAATTGATGCAGCTTTGTCACAATTTCTTTATTCCATGAGGAAAAGCAATAATCCAGCATTCAATTTGTAACTTCCAAAATGTCTGGCTAGCACTTTTTATACTTATGGCATATAAAGTATGCCATCACACAATTCCTATTTCATTATATATGACAAATATATACATATTTTATTATATATGTGTTCAAAATATTCAAGCACATCTTTTAA